GATTTAAAGGAGCCCTTCATATTAATCGTATGAATAATATCTCCAATATACCTTTTACACACTATAGGCGTAATCTATATTATGATATTACTAAAAAAGTTCATGGGTCATGAGCAAAATCTCCCGAACACTTAATTTTAAGTTGTATCTGGCAATTCATTTGCCTTTCGCTTTAGTTGAGTACGTTTGAAAGAGGTAATTCCAACACTAAGTAACCGTTACAAAGTGTTTAATGTGATGATATTTTCCGAGACTAAAACAACGAACACAAAAGAAAGTTGAAATGTTTGGGAGGGGAGGGGAGGGGAGGGGAGAGCAGGGATTTGGGAATCGCTTATTGGAGCAGTTTGAGCATATACTTTTCATACAATCAATCAATTACCCACGTCTTAGTTACAGCAATATGTCGCTGAGAACATCAAGCACAGCGGCTTCGTGAAGCATGAGAAGATAGTTCTTCACCGCATGATAACAAAGCCATAATGATGTGCTGTATAATGTTCTTAACCTAGATCTAGACCTAGATTAGTGACATAGCAACAGAAAAAAACAACAAAAACACCCAGATTACGGCATTCCGATGACAGCTTCAGATGGTTCATACTGGGCTGAATAAAATGTGGGAATTACTTTGAATAATACAAAAAAACCTCTCATAAGTCCCATGAAATAAAAATGTATGTTACCAAATTTTAAAAAAGAAGATTATAAATTATACGCATTTCGGACAGTGACAAAAAGGGTTATACATTCGTTTTAATTTGAGTTTTTCTTTCCCTTTTATTTCATGTTGACAATTTACACAAGTGTCTTTAATGAAATGTGAAAAGCAACATTCTAAAAATTACACATTATTTTTTTTTTCGCTTTATTTTTGTTGTTGTTTATCTTGGTGTTGTAACCATGACTTTGTTTTGGATATTCTGCAGTCAATGACACTTCTTGTCATAATAATAAATATATGCAAACTTATAAGCTGAATAAAATTGATATCAGAAAGTAATATTGAATACAAGTACAAATTATTTTATGTTGTTTTATAAATTAAATAAACAGTATTTTCAGTTTCAGGATATTTTGGTCAATCTCTATGGCATTTGCTCCGGTTAAACAAGATGGCGTCCTCCTGAGAGAAATTAAACACTAGCAGTAACAGTTCCAAATTCCAAAGTACGTATTTCTTATCGCCCCTCAAGGTCCCTTTAAAGACGATCGGTGAGAACACTGGTTTTAAAGATTCTTTTTTAAAGCATGAAATAGTGTGATTTAGGATCTTCTGTAAGTTAAGGTTCATGTCGCTATCAATATCAATTTTAAGTTTAAGGCCTTCGACGGCTTCGATACCGTCCCACACGAACTTTTGTTGACAAAACTGGAAGGCAATGGAATTGAGGGGCAGATTCACGCTTGGATAAGGAACTTCTTGACTGATAGGCAACAGTGTGTGGTTGTTAATGGAGAGGAGTCATCCTGGGAGCATGTGCAGTCGGGAATTCCTTAGGGAAGTGTGCTAGGTCAAGGTCCGTTTCTCTTTGTATGCTTCGTCAATGACCTCCCTGGCTCCCTGAAAATATCCTCTCAGGTACTTTTTTCTGTTCGCGGATGATACGAAGATTTTTGCTGAAGTACCCGATTTTTCGGACAACCTCCAGGATGACTTGAACAGACTCCAGCTCTGGTCTAATGCGTGGCAATTGAGGTTTAACCCTTTAAAAGATTCTGGTCCCTGATAAATGTTGTTTGGCAACGCAAGGCGTTGGTAGATATAACAGAGCGTCGGTTGAGACGTTCATTCAATGAAATATGAGCATTTTGACTCAGTTAGACACTTGAGGGACTCGAAAGGATATTCAGGAAATAGGACTTTCATCTTTCAATGCAAACACCTTTCCTCACTTTTCAAACGATCTAATTCTTACACAAAACGTTGTTTCCTGATGTAAATAATCATATTTTTTGGTTTTTGAACCATTGTCCTACCAGAGGGAGAAATTTGAGAGCAACTGAATTTAAAAAATATTCGGAAATTATCCGATGGATTTTTTTCCTCTTTCGAACGATAGCTGAATTATATAAAAGCAGCTGTTCGCAAGTTCATTCATAATAATAGGTGTGAAATCTGGAAAACTCTGGAAAAGAATTCGATTTGGTGTAACTTCCAATCTCAGCGTGTCTGATCAACCGACGAGGAGATAATGGGATTATTCGTGTGATCGTAACACTTATTCATTGATCGTATCAGTTTGCTCTATAAAAGATGAGATGTTTCCCTGACCTGCCGCGGCACGCTCGCGTGACCGGTGTCTGACCCCGGCGCCCCGCGGCACAAGCTCGCCGGTGACGTAAGTGGGTCATCGATCGATAAGAGCCCTCTTCCGGTTAACCCCGCAGGACTAGAGTTAATGCAGGAAAATGCAAGGTTATGCACATTGGGAAAAATAGAAACCCATGTAAGTACAAGATGACATCCAAAGGTGAATGCATCACTCTAGAATCTGTGAGACTAGAAAAAGACCTAGGTGTGAATATTGAAAGTGATCTAAAATTCAGCAAACATGTCAGTATCCAAGTCAACAAAGCTAACAGTCTTCTCGCACTGATCCGGAGAGGTTTCACAATGCTGCACAAAGTGTCCCTTTCTACTCTGTACAAATCAATCATTCGTCCTCATCTAGAGTATGGAAATGTGGTCTGGCACCCCATTAAGTGGCAGGATAGAATAAGAAATGAAGAGCTGTGGGAAAAGACAGGACAAAACGATATAGAAGTAGAAATAGGACTAAGAAAGTGGCGATGGATGGGACACACCTTAAGAAAGCCCAGCAGAAACATCACAAGACAGTCACTGCAGTGGAACCCACAAGGAGCACAAGGCAGGGGTAGGCCACGGGAAACATGGAGGAGATGCGTGGAAAGGGACATGAGAGAAATGAAGCTCACTTGGAACGAGCTTGGAAGGATGGCTCAGGACAGAGATTTTTATGGAAGGAGCTTGTATGTGGCCTATACCCTGCCAGGGGTGAAAGGCATTGATGATGATGATGATGATGACCCCAGACTTAAAGGTGATGAAGAACAACTTGAAAAAGTGCAATGTCGGGCCACCAAACTAATTCCTGAACTACAGCACCTTGCTTACTGCGATCGTCTCAGAAAATTGGATCTGCCATCGCTGTACTATCAGAGAGCTAGAGGCGACATGATTGAATGTTACAAGTATTTAACAGAAATTTACAACGTAACGGGAGACATTTTACCCCACGATCTACACTCTAACACCAGAGGACACAGCCTAAAATTGAAAAAAAAAAAGTGAAAACAACAGTCCGCCAAAACTTACGCACAGTTAATGTTTGGAATTCCCTACAGGAAAATGTGATGTCTGCACCATCCTTGAATGCTTTCAAGAATAGGATTGACATGGTCTGGAAGGCACATTATAAATTCTCCATGAACCTAGATTGGTTTCAAACTGCCAGATCCGTGTACCATGAGTACCAACCTACAGATAACAGAGTGTGAAAACAACGAGCAGGAAGGAACAAGCAATGAAGGCAACAAACGGCTGATAGGCGACTAGCCTGACCACAGCCGTACTTCAAACTACTAACTAACTACTACTAATATCACTCCAGTTACGTCTTTTTCGCCACTCACACTCATTTTCGACTGGCTGGGGCTCTTTGGAAATAAATTGCCTTCCCGTTTGTTTACAATAGAAACAGAAGTGATTGCTTTTATTTAAGACAAAAGTGGCCATATATGTATGCTAAATGAACCCTACCACATAACAGTAATATTTTTCTGCCTTTTTTGTATGAAAAATTTATTTTGGTCAGATTTAACTTTGGTGGACCCACCATGCCATGTTTACATTGTGTTACTGTGACTGTATGCAATAATGCGCACTAGCCTGGAAAAAAATAATGATTTAAAAAAAAACACACAATCTTCACGTTTGCATGGCAAATTATCAGTACAGTTTCCAAAAGGCTGCCAATGGAACGGGAAGGCAATTTCCAAAGAGCTCCGACTGGCCGACAAAGGCAACGAGACTGAGTCTAGTCTCTACACTACTCACCCTAGTCCCTTTTTTACCACTAGATACAGTTCCAGACTAGAGTAGAGACTCAGTACCCCTTAGCCTAAGTCATTCTCAGTTTCTGAAACATGCGACTAAACTTAAAACGACCAACCTGCCTGATTGACGTCTAATTTTAGTAATATGATGTCATCACATCCTGGGATACCCACAGACTATTTTTAGAAGGCTGTGGAGATACCAAAGATGGTATTGTAGTAGAGAATCTTTGGAGATACGGCATGGAATGACATGCTAGGGTCAGAGGCTTGACGTACTATACGTATCGATGTGTTTCGCACTGTAAAATTTCACACTTGTGGCTAACTGCAACCTGTCAGCCATTCTCTACTGATTGGTTACATGGTTTCCAGTATGCTAAAATAACATTCGGAATTCCAGTAATTTTCTTCTTCCTCGTTCTCGATGACAGCAGCTAGACAGTCAGTCCGATGTCGCACACAAACTGTGCAGTTCGCTTCAACTCTTAGAGACTGCCATAGAGCTTTCTCTCAAGGGGAGCCACGTTCTGTCGCGTCTGTGTACGAAGTTTCCGGTAGTGAATCGTGATGCTTGAAATTGAAACGCAGTAAACGCAAAGACAATAAAGCGCTTGAAAATTGCCTTAAAGACGCCGGAAGATTACCCTACCCCTCCCCCGGACCCAATAAACAATGGGCAGAAGAGATTTATTTATTAAGCCGCAGCATCATCGGAACACCATATCATATCACATTACCGGTATTCCTGGAAAAACATCCCACCAAAGCGTCGTGCCATCAGAGAGTCTACATGATCTTTGATGCCCTGCAGTTGGCTATATTTAGAGGCTGCGGCTATTCGGACTCGAGTCTGGATAGCCTCCCATGGCTATTCGGACTGAAACTCCAATGCGCAATAACCAGATATGTGAAGCGTACAGGCAATTCAACCGTACAAAAACCTGGGGGGTTTCAGGGAACAGCCTTCTGTGTTGAAGTGGCAAGACTGTGCTACTGTCGGTTCAAATTTAGATTTATACTTCCTCAAATCAAAACTCCTTTACCCCTTATTATGAAAGGAAATGTTTTAGGGGTCCTTCTAATTGCGTCCGGAGGCAGTCATCTCTTACAGGTGCTGCAGCCTGTTACGTGCAAACCACATACATTCTCAAAACCTTTGCTGTCTTTAGTTGGTAGATCTACCACTTTTACACATGGGTGGGGTGAGAAATGGAGGAGGGGGCATGGCAGATTGGAAGAGAGCACGAAAACAAAGGCTGGGTCTACAATTTCTTAAATGAGAAACAAAAAATAAACGATCAGAGATTGTTGGTCTGCTTCGTCCAACTTCCGGTTCATAACAAATCAGCTGTCCTCACCAAAAGGTCTATATTCTGTCTAGTTTTTTCAATTTTAGACCAGTTTTGGTAACAAACAAAAAATTAACCGAAAAATTGTAAGGCAAAATAATACAAAAAATAAGTCTATGGACGGCTCCGGGCGGCAACTAGTAGGACCCTGTTTTAGTGTTAGATTTGAACTTGAGGATTCACTTTACAGGATGGTTTTTGTCCCCTATTCATAATCTTCCATGGCTCGTGGCCTTCTATTAAATTGAAAAGATTTACATTTGTGAGGCAGCGTGGTGGAATCAGGCTCTCGTCAAAATAATCAAAGTGAAGAAACGTGCCTTTTTCCGCAGGTTTGTGAATTTTTATCAAATTTTTGTTTTTTGGCTCATCACCTTTCATACCCTTTGAAAACTCATTTCTGTGTGGGTTTTTTTTTTAAACGTTGATTAAAGGCACAAGAAATGTAAATTGTCGCTTACCACGGACTCTTAAGCTAAGGAAAAAACTAATCTTTGGCGGCCATTTTCTCTGTACAATATTTGCAGCCTTCTATATTGTGCACTTTCTTGGCCAAGCAACCTTTTCTTTTTTTTTTTTTTCTTTTTTTTTTCTTTTTTTTTGTTTGCACTGTTGTCACTTTCATTTACACAATGCCATCTTACTTTTGTAACGAAATAATCATAAATGTTCTGGTCATTTTACAATCTCACTGACTGGTTGTGTACATATCTTGTTTCAGGTTTTTCTCCGTCTAAAAACACCAAAGTATTTTCTAGTCCCTCAACCAACCATGTTTCAAGTTGGGAATTTCGACCTCTATGAGGTCCTGGCCTATTTATTCATGTGGGTGACTCTCTACTTCCTTCTCTGCCTGCTGAACCCGGGGCGCAGCTACGAGTGGCACTGCCGATCGGTGACTGTGCTCCATGCAGCCATCATCAGCGCCCTCGCTGCCTACGGGGCCCTCATAATGGGCCCGAATCCGTTCACTGAAGCAGGTGAGTGGGAACGTCAGTTCAGCTTTCGTCATAATGGCATGATATATGATATGGTTTATTTTTTAGCTTTGTTTTGAAATCTGTCTGTGAAGGTTTATATTTCTTTTTCTACTACTGCACGCAATTTCACGGCAGAGATGTTTATTTCATAATAGTATTTTAACTGCTGATGATATTATAGTTATAGATACACCTGTAAATTCTTCATTGTTCATGTGAAAAGAAGACACAAAGAAATACTCTACTGGTAACTGTTCCCTCCCTCTTGTTCTTTTTCATAGTTCCTTGGCATGTTTTGCCCTTTCATTTTTGATACTCATTGTTGTTATTTCTTTAACTTTCCTGAAAGCAAATAAATTTGTTGTACAGAAGATGGTTGGCGGGTGCTCTGGTGTGGTTTGCTCCTTCTTTTGTATCAAACATCTATAGTCCTGATCTCTCCTCCTTCTTTTTTGTGTTTATTACTCTCTTGTAACACTTCTAATCTTTGGCACTGATATGACTATGACCTTATTGTGTTGTAAGTGCCGTGAAACTCTTACTAAAACTTGACTCAATTGTTTTATCTGCCCTGCCACCATATGTGAGGCAGCGTGGTGGAATCAGGCTCTCTTCAATTTTTGGGCATGTAGAGTTATTGGTATCATCTTAAAGCTCGTTCCCTTTTCTTTATTTGGATGAAAAAATATCCATTTATCTTAAATACGAGTCGAGATATTTGCGAATGAAGGAGGTGGGGGTCACCTGTTTTCAGAGGTAAAATTAGTGAAAAAATGGCCGCAAAAGAAAAGTTATTTCCTTAACTTTAGAGTCCGCGGTAACTGAAAATTTACATTCTTTGTGCCTTTAATCAACATTTTAAAGAAAAACCCATGCAGAAATGAGTTCTTTATTAGGCATGAAAGGTGTTGAGCCAAAAAACAAAAATTTGATAAAAATTCACAAACCTGCGGAAAAATGCAAGTTTCTTCACTTTGATTATTTGGACGAGAGCCTGATTCCACCACGCTGCCTCACATATTGAAATGTCTTAAATCCCAATCAGTAATCATTCCACTCTCCCCTCCCTGCAGGTGGACCGAACAACTCTTTCCAGGTGCGCACGGTCAGCATTTGCTTGGGTTACTTCCTCTTTGACTTTTCCTGGTGCCTCTACTTCAAAACAGAAGGTAAAGTCTATGTTCACAGTTTGGAGCTGTGTTGTTTTATGTCGTCAGTCTATTCATAGACAATAATTTAGCGCTTTTTTTGTGTGGTGTATATACCTATAGATATCACAGGAATGAGCTTTTTTGTGTATATGTCAACAGAGAAGTCCTTACAGGGAATCAGACTTACTCTGCTCACCTCTCTAGCTTCAACAGCACAAAGTCTGCGTCGACTATCAAGGCACCCCGGAAATATCAGGTCACAAGAGTGTGACAAACATACAAAAGAAATAGAGGAAAATGACGATAGTAAGGATTAGGAAAGAAAAAGCAGCAGTTCCCCGTTGATGTTCCGGCGCACTATGATCATGACTTTCATGAATCAGCCCATTTACAATTCTACAGTGCTTAAGAACACGTTAAAATAACCCCTTTGGGAATGGTCTAAAGACACTTCAGTCAGTGGCACCACCCCGGGGGGTGTAATACTCATTATTGTGATATTAATCAAGCTTGAATGAGCACACCAGTGTATACACGTGCATATTATGGGCCAGCTGTTCAGTGTACTAAGCCCAAAATTTAAAATTATTTTTTTATATTTCAGTTTCTTAATCTGTGGTATTAGCTGCAGTGCTGTAGAAGTATTTTGTTGAAATTCATATTTTAAATGTTGAAAAAAAAAAGTTGCATTTTTTGGGTTCAATTTCTAAAAGAATAAAATGGTTTTTTTCTCTCTCTCATGAAAAATTCTGTTTTGTGGGCTTAGAACAAGTGAATAGCTTGATGATGATATGTATGCAGAATTTTGAATCCCTACTTAATTAATTAATATTTTTTTACCACAGGGCCTGTCATGCTGGCTCATCACTTCCTCAGCGTTGTGGGCCTGACAGTGTGTCTAGTCGCAGGTCGCTACGGTACCGAAATGATTGCCACCATAGCTGGAGCAGAAATCACCAATCCACTGCTACAGCTACGCTGGTTCCTACGAGCCACCGGGCGACATCACTCCTTGATGGCCGATGTGGTGGACTGGGCGTTCATGCTGTCCTTCGGGTTTGTCAGGCTGGGCTTGGGCAGTGTCCTTCTCTACATGTATTATCAGCAGGTGAGTTTTTCCTTTGTTCCTATCGCTCACATTGTGATTTTCTTCTTTCATATATATCGATATCGTGTACTTGTTGACTTCAGGCAACATGGCAGCTGAATGAAAGTCAGTTTGTTCATAGATTAAGTAACCAAAGCCCCAATTCAATAGTTGCAGACTTGCCGACTGCTCCAATTTTCATAGGAAGGATCTCTGAATCGACAGTCAGGAATTTGAAAGCGATGTCGCATACACTATACCAAGTCTTGCCCCTCTAGTTGTGATTTTGTTGTTTGTTATATGTAATCTGATGTGATAACTTTGTGGTCCGTGAATGGCTTTTTTGAAAGTCGGCGAACCTATAATAGTTTTTTCACTGTGTTTGTTTTGCCTGTTGAACAGCTGCGATGGGATTTGCATTCAAAAAATTTTTTCCTTGAATTCTGTTTCCATTAGTCTTACGCAACTTATTGTAAATCACATGGAAATAAACACTGGTTTTTATTTTGTCATTGATTTTAGAAATTAAATTCTCGTCTTTGTCTTGCCTCCCCAGAACTCAGACTATATAGGTCGCTTCGGAGGGACCAGTATATACCTCCTCAGCGTCGTGTTTTTCATCAGCATTGTCAACTACGCGGTGCGCAAATACACCAAGAGGTACCGAGCGTGGGTCAAGCGACGGGCAGCGCCGCCACCAGGGGAAGCCACTCCTACGACCCGGCAGAACGGGGACTTGAAGGAGGACGTTTCTTCTGTGGGCATTATCAAAGAGCAGGAGATTCCGAGCCCGCGGGAGATAAAGACGGGGCTGAAGGAGCTGAGTCTGCGGAAAAACTGCATGGTTCAGAAAGTGAATGTGTCGTGAGACAGCGGGGAATCAAAGAATTGTTCTTTCTCGATGCGGGTATTATGGACAATGACAGCGTTGACATTCAGCACTCTTAGAACGGCAGGATTCTGACTCCCACTTTTTTTTTTTTTCGGGAACAGAGCTACACGCTATATTTTACCCGAACAGATGTCCTGCACTTTGTGTCAAGGGCTATGTCCTACACCTTGTGTCAAGGGCTATGTCCTGCACCTTGTGTCAAGGGCTATGTCCTGCACCTTGTGTCAAGGGCTATGTCCTGCACCTTGTGTCAAGGGCTATG